TAGGTTGGTGGTGCCCTCACACAGTTGGTTGGTGGTGCCCTCACACAGTAGGTTGGTGGTGCCCTCACACAGTAGAGTAGGTTGGTGGTGCCCTCACACAGTAGAGTAGGTTGGTGGTGCCCTCACATTGGTAGGTTGGTGGTGCCCTCACACAGTTGGTTGGTGGTGCCCTCACACAGTAGAGTAGGTTGGTGGTGCCCTCACACAGTAGAGTAGGTTGGTGGTGCCCTCACACAGTAGAGTAGGTTGGTGGTGCCCTCACATTGGTAGGTTGGTGATGCCCTCACACAGTTGGTTGGTGGTGCCCTCACACAGTAGAGTAGGTTGGTGGTGCCTTGAGACAGAAGGTTTGTGATGCCCTCACACAGGTAGGTTGGTGGTGCCCCAAAGACTAATGATGCCCAGACACAGCCCATTATGGCGTTTACTTTCAGTGGTCTAATAAAAGAAAAGAAAAAAGATGTATTAACTGTATGGAAGAACTTGCCAAACATTTTTTTCTTTCAATGATAAAGAGATAAAATTAACACTGTTTTCATGTTAATCAACTTAGCAGTAATTATTGTAATGATAGTTATGAGTTTAACTCAAAGTTTGGGATACATTAATCTTAACAGTGGTAGTTGTGATGCTGTATAAATAGATAGTTGATGATGGTGTATAAATAGATAGTTGATGGTGGTGTATAAATAGATAGTTGATGATGCTGTATAAATAGATAGTTGTTGATGGTGTATAAACAGATAGTTGATGATGTTGTATAAATGGATAGTTGATGATGCTGTATAAATAGATAGTTGATGATGCTGTATAAATAGATAGTCGATGATGCTGTATAAATAGATATTTGATGATGCTGTATAAATAGATAGTTGATTTTGCTGTATACATAGATAGTTGATGGTGTATAAATAGATAGTTGATGGTGTATAAATAGCTAGTTGATGGTGTATAAATAGATAGTTGATGCTGTATAAATAGCTAGTTTATGGTGTATAAATAGATAGTTGATGGTGTATAGATAGAGAATTGATGCTGTATAAATATATAGTTGTTGATGCTGTATAAATAGATAGTTGTTGATGCTGTATAAATAGATAGTTGTTGATGCGGTATAAATAGATAGTTGCTGATGCTGTATAAATAGATAGTTGTTGATGTTGTATAAATAGAAAATTGATGGTGCTGTATAAAAAGATAGTTGTTGATGCTGTATAAATAGATAGTTGTTGATGCTGTATAAATAGATAGTTGATGATGCTGTATAAATAGATAGTTCACGATGCTGTATAAATAGATAGTTGATGATGCTGTATAAATAGATAGTTGATGATGCTGTATAAATAGATTGTTGATGATGCTGTATAAATAGATAGTTGATGATGCTGTATAAATAGATAGTTGATGATGCTGTATAAATAGATAGTTGATGCTGTATAAATAGATAGTTGATGATGCTGTATAAATAGATAGTTGATGCTGTAGAAATAGATAGTTGTTGATGCTGTATAAATAGATATTTGATGTTGTATAAATAGTTGATGCTGTATAAATAGATAGTTGATGATTGTGTATAAATAGATAGTTGTTGATGTTGCATAAATAGATAGTTGAGGAGGTTGCATAGGTAGTTGGTGGTGGTGTATAACAATGGTAGTGTGTAGTGTCATATAACAATTGGTAGTTGGTGGGGGTGTATAACTATAGGTAGGTGGTGTTGTATAACAATGGATAGTTGATGGTGCTTTATAACAATGGATAGTTGGTAGTGTATACCAATGGATAGATGATGGTTGTGTATAACAATGGGTAGTTGGTGGTGCTGTATAACAATGGGTAGTTGGTGGTGGTGTATAACAATCGGTAGTTGGTTGTGGTATATAACAATGGGTAGTTGGTGGTGCTGTATAACAATGGGTAGTTGGTGGTGGTGTATAACAATCGGTAGTTGGTGGTGGTATATAACAATGGGTAGTTGATGGTGCTGTATAACAAAGGGTAGTTGGTGGTGGTGTATAACAATCGGTAGTTGGTGGTGGTATATAACAATGTGTAGTTGGTGGTGGTGTATAACAATGGGTAGTTGTTGGTGGTGTATAACAATCGGTAGCTGGTGTGCTGTATAACAGCCGATCTAGCATTTAAAAAGTACAAAGACCATTAGCAAACTAAATATTGAAATAACACTTAATATAATTTTTAATAAGCTAATACTGCCCGGTAGTTTTTTTTTATTAAAGATATACACTAAATAATAAATATGTATGCTTTATTTAAAAGTTCAACAAATAAAATATATTCAACCGAGGCATGTTTACAATAAATGATAACATTGGGGCCGAAGTGTGTTTCTCCATTAGTAACAAATTATCGACATATTATTTTATTTATAGAATTGTTACGATAAAAGTATCTTGATTGATATTTTCGTTGACTGGAAATATTATTAACACAAAAGTTTCAAAAAAATTACTTACAAAGACTATAAGACGCTTTATTAATCAAATCGAACATGTAGATCCATTGTAAAGATGGAGGCGCCTCGTACCAAAAGACCACAACAAAATGAAGTGAGTTTAAATCACGGTGTGCATAGTTGCCCCGCTTTGTTTACAACATTCATACAATACAGAGTTATTGTCCCTACTTTTTTAAGATATGGGTTTAATTTTTTTTTTAAGCCAAATGTATTTTTTTTACAAATCTGCGAGTGATCAATTTACTGGTTTTACTCAAATGTATTCCCTTCGGTTTTGAAAGAGTGATATTACTCTACTATTTATTCAGAATGTTAAATACTGATTTTTTTAGAGTAATATCACTCTTTCAAGACGACTATAGTGATTTATATATAAATTAATCTCTTAGATTCATAGTACTCTATAAGTTGCTGAAGTGCTTGTGTCGATATGAACTAAATGCATACTTTTATATTGTGTAATTATTTTTGCGATACACTAATTATCAATTTCAGACCGAACATTAAATATGGCGGATGATATAATATTCTGCAGATTTGTAGCAATTCGACTAGGTACAAAACTTACGCTTCCAGCTAGTGAACGATTTGCTTGCTGTTTGATGTATATCATCAAGAGTTCCAGCAACAGATGAAACCTGTAAGTCCCCACTGGCCAGTCACTAGAGTTGTCTTACATTAAATTTTGATAAATTACCTTTTAAATTTTGAATGTATATATATATATATATATATATATATATATATATATATAAATCAGTTGGACGTGTAATTATTTCTAAATTCTCACAAAACGGGTGATTAATAATGTAATTACTCACACTCACAGAAATGTGTACGGCTAAATATCAGATGCTATGTTATCTTCGTGGTCCTAATAATTTTTATTTTCGGAGTTTTAAATAACTTTTTATGATATAAGTTACTAGGAAATTCTACAAGTTTAGGGCAGCCAAGATATACAACTCTGTATGACCTTACGAAGAATATTTTACTAGTTATTTCTCTTGAAAAGGCTTTAAAACAACAAAAAGAAAAAAAAAGAAAAATTCTATGCAACATTTTTATGCCATCTTTAATTATTTAATGCATTCATTAGTTTTAATACAATTTCAACCAAATCAAGTGTGTTAGTTACAGAGATCGAAATAAAATAATTTATAAACCCAATATCTAGAGCGTTTAAACAAGATGCAGACAGTGTGTACATTTCTAGTAAACAGAATGTACATTTCTAGTACACAGTTTGTACATTTCTTGTACACAGTTTGTACATTTCTTGTACACAGTTTGTACATTTCTAGTACACAGTTTGAACATTTCTAGTACACAATTTGTACATTTCTAGTACACAGTTTGTAAATTTCTAGTACACAGTTTGTACATTTCTAGTACACAGTTTGTACATTTCTAGTACACAGTTTGTACATTTCTAGTACACAGTTTGTACATTTCTAGTACACAGTTTGTACATTTCTAGTACACAGTACGTACATTTCTAGTAAACAGAATCTACATTTCTAATACACAGTTTGTACATTTGTAGTACACAGTTTGTACATTTTTAGTACACAGTTTGTACATTTCTATTACACAGTTTGCACAGTTCGATTACACAGTTTGTACAATGTTTAGGTGAGGGGAGTGAGACGGGTCACATTAATGTACCGGGAGGGAAGGGGAATGGGTGGGAGGAAGGGTGTGGGAGGGGAATGAAAGTGGGAGGATGGGTGTGGGAAGGGAATGAATGTGGGACGGGTTAGGAAAGACTTGAGGGAGAGAGGGTATATATAAAAGAGATTGTATGGGAAAAAAAGAGTGGAGGGAGGGGGGGGGGTGGTAAAAATTAAGCTTTAATATTTACTGCATATAATCATATACATGCCATTTTTTAACATTTCGAGATAATCTTGAAACACATTCGTTCAACTGGTTATATACATTTATTTATTTGTTATGTAACATGTCTGAAGTGGTAGAATTTCTTCTGTTTGTTGACAGCTAATCAGTTTGTCTGTCTATCGGTCGTCCATCACACAGGTTTACATTATAAACCTGCACAAAGGTTTACATTATAAACCAGAACAAAGGTTTACATTATAAACCTGGGACATCAACGTCACTGGCTGCAATATAAACAATATATATATATATATATATATATATATATATATATATATATATATATATATATATATATATATATATATATATGTAATCAAAAGTAAGTGTTAAAGGTATTTTTATATATATGTTTGTTTGTAGTGATGTGTTATGTCATGGAAAGAAAAGGTGGTTGGGGGATGGGGTGGGAAGTGGAAGCTTAAAAGTATGTCGAACTTGTTCATTTAGAGAATTGAGTTGTTCGTAGAATATGGGTAATGTTGTAGATACCTTACAGGGCAGGTGAGTATAATAAATACCAATGTTTTTAGAAACCTGCGAAATCGATTACACAAAACAATAAATCGGCTAGTAAAAGATAATTGAAGTCGATTCTAACAAAAAACTGACTATATTTAAAAAAATAAAATTAAGCACCCTCTAGCTTATAAACATTAACCGACTTGCCCAAAAACAGCATCTAAATAGATCATCAATTGTAAACCAACCTGACAATTGTGCGTACGTCCTAGAGATCAAGTCTAGGGCCTGGTCCAGGTTCTGGGACATTTGGTCCAGGTGTGTTACCGTCAGATCACCTGTCTGTAGTATGGTCTGTACCATGGTGGTTACCTGAGACAGACAAATGTCAGATTTATCATGTCTAGAGTCACGTGGTGATCACACTTACATCATTAACGTCTAGAGTCACGTGATGATCACACTTACATCATTAACGTCTACAGTCACGTGATGATCACACTTACATCATTAACGTCTACAGTCACGTGGTGATCACACTTACATCATTAAAGTCTAGAGCCACGTGAAGATCACACTTACATCATTAAAGTAGATGTCTAGAGCCACGTGAAGGTCACACATACATCATTAAAGTCTAGAGCCACATGAAGATTACACTTACATCATTAAAGTCTAGAGCCACGTGAAGATTACACTTACATCTTTAAAGTCTATAGCCACGTGAAGATTGCACTTACATCATTAAAGTCTAGAGCCACGTGAAGATCACACTTACATCTTTAAAGTAGATGTCTAGAGCAACGTGAAGGTCACACTTACATCATTAAAGTCTAGAGCCACATGAAGATTACACTTACATCATTAAAGTCTAGAGCCACGTGAAGATTACACTCACATCTTTAAAGTCTAGAGCCACGTGAAGATTGCACTTACATCATTAAAGTCTAGAGCCACGAGAAGATCATACTTACATCATTAAAGTAGATGTCTAGAGCCACGTGAAGATCACAATTACATCATTAAAGTAGATGTCTAGAGCCACGTGAAGATCACACTTACATCATTAAAGTCTAGAGCCACGTGAAGATCACACTTAGTCATTAAAGTCTAGAGCCACGTGAAGATTACACTTACATCTTTAAAGTAGATGTCTAGAGCCACGTGAAGATTACACTTACATCATTAAAGTAGATGTCTAGAGCCACGTGAAGATCACACTTACATCATTAAAGTCTAGAGCCACCTGAAGATCACACTTAGTCATTAAAGTCTAGAGCCACGTGAAGATTACACTTACATCTTTAAAGTAGATGTCTAGAGCCACGTGAAGATCACACTTACATCTTTAAAGTAGATGACTAGAGCCACGTGAAGATCACACTTACATCATTAAAGTCTAGAGCCACGTGAAGATCACACTTAGTCATTAAAGTCTAGAGCCACGTGAAGATTACACTTACATCTTTAAAGTAGATGTCTAGAGCCACGTGAAGATCACACTTACATCTTTAAAATATATGTCTAGAGCCACGTGAAGATCACACTTACATCTTTAAATTAGATGTCTAGAGCCACGTGAAGATCACACTTACATCATTAAAGTCTAGAGCCACGTGAAGATCACACTTACATCTTTAAAATAGATGTCTAGAGCCACGTGAAGATCACACTTACATCTTTAAAGTAGATATATAGAGCCACGTGAAGATTACACTTACATCATTAAAGTAGATATCTAGAGCCACGTGAAGATTACACTTACATCATTAAAGTAGATGTCTATAGCCACGTGAAGATTACACTTACATCATTAAAGTAGATGTCTATAGCCACGTGAAGATTACACTTACATCTTTAAAGTCTAGAGCCACGTGAAGATCACACTTAGTCATTAAAGTCTAGAGCCACGTGAAGATTACACTTACATCTTTAAAATAGATGTCTAGAGCCACGTGAAGATTACACTTACATCTTTAAAGTAGATGTCTAGAGCCACGTGAAGATCACACTTACATCATTAAAGTCTAGAGCCACCTGAAGATCACACTTAGTCATTAAAGTCTAGAGCCACGTGAAGATTACACTTACATCTTTAAAGTAGATGTCTAGAGCCACGTGAAGATCACACTTACATCTTTAAAGTAGATGTCTAGAGCCACGTGAAGATCACACTTACATCATTAAAGTCTAGAGCCACGTGAAGATCACACTTAGTCATTAAAGTCTAGAGCCACGTGAAGATTACACTTACATCTTTAAAGTAGATGTCTAGAGCCACGTGAAGATCACACTTACATCTTTAAAATATATGTCTAGAGCCACGTGAAGATCACACTTACATCTTTAAATTAGATGTCTAGAGCCACGTGAAGATCACACTTACATCATTAAAGTCTAGAGCCACGTGAAGATCACACTTACATCTTTAAAATAGATGTCTAGAGCCACGTGAAGATCACACTTACATCTTTAAAGTAGATATATAGAGCCACGTGAAGATTACACTTACATCATTAAAGTAGATATCTAGAGCCACGTGAAGATTACACTTACATCATTAAAGTAGATGTCTATAGCCACGTGAAGATTACACTTACATCATTAAAGTAGATGTCTATAGCCACGTGAAGATTACACTTACATCTTTAAAGTCTAGAGCCACGTGAAGATCACACTTACATCTTTAAAGTAGATGTCTATAGCCACGTGAAGATTACACTTACATCATTAAAGTAGATGTCTATAGACACGTGAAGATTACACTTACATCATTAAAGTCTAGAGCCACGTGAAGATCACACTTACATCTTTAAAGTAGATGTCTAGAACCACGTGAAGATCACACTTACATCTTTAAAGTAGATGTCTAGAGCCACGTGAAGATCACACTTACATCATTAAAGTCTAGAGCCACGTGAAGATCACACTTACATCTTTAAAATAGATGTCTAGAGCCACGTGAAGATCACACTTACATCTTTAAAGTAGATATATAGAGCCACGTGAAGATTACACTTACATCATTAAAGTAGATATCTAGAGCCACGTGAAGATTACACTTACATCTTTAAAGTAGATGTCTAGAGCCACGTGAAGATCACACTTACATCTTTAAAATATATGTCTAGAGCCACGTGAAGATCACACTTACATCTTTAAAGTAGATGTCTAGAGCCACGTGAAGATCACACTTACATCATTAAAGTCTAGAGCCACGTGAAGATCACACTTACATCATTAAAGTCTAGAGCCACGTTAAGATCACACTTACATCTTTAAAGTAGATATATAGAGCCACGTGAAGATTACACTTACATCATTAAAGTAGATATCTAGAGCCACGTGAAGATTACACTTACATCATTAAAGTAGATGTCTATAGCCACGTGAAGATCACACTTACATCATTAAAGTAGATGTCTATAGCCACGTGAAGATTACACTTACATCTTTAAAGTCTAGAGCCACGTGAAGATCACACTTACATCTTTAAAGTAGATGTCTATAGCCACGTGAAGATTACACTTACATCATTAAAGTCTAGAGCCACGTGAAGATCACACTTACATCTTTAAAGTAGATGTCTATAGCCACGTGAAGATTACACTTACATCTTTAAAGTAGATGTCTAGAGCCACGTGAAGATCACACTTACATCATTAAAGTAGATGTCTAGAGTCACGTGAAGATCACACTTACATCTTTAAAGTAGATGTCTAGAGCCACGTGAAGATCACACTTACATCTTTAAAGTAGATGTCTAGAGCCACGTGAAGATCACACTTACATCATTAAAGTCTAGAGCCACGTGAAGATCACACTTACATCTTTAAAATAGATGTCTAGAGCCACGTGAAGATCACACTTACATCTTTAAAGTAGATATATAGAGCCACGTGAAGATTACACTTACATCATTAAAGTAGATATCTAGAGCCACGTGAAGATTACACTTACATCTTTAAAGTAGATATATAGAGCCACGTGAAGATTACACTTACATCATTAAAGTAGATATCTAGAGCCACGTGAAGATTACACTTACATCATTAAAGTAGATGTCTAGAGCCACGTGAAGATTACACTTACATCATTAAAGTAGATGTCTATAGCCACGTGAAGATTACACTTACATCATTAAAGTAGATGTCTAGAGCCACGTGAAGGTCGCACTTACATCATTAAAGTCTAGAGCTACGTGAAGATCACACTTACATCATTAAAGTAGATGTCTAGTGCCACGTGAAGATCACACTTCCCATCGTTCAGACGCCTCAACTTCTGCTGTATTTCTTTAACTTTTGCTTGGTCAGGGCTGGACGCCATCTTCAGAAAACAGACAAAATGAGTTCTATCACTACATTTATACAAGGTGAACAACAAAGTTACGCAAATCGTAGAGTGAGTTTGTTAAGTGAGGACGGTGGATGTGTGTGGGTATCTGAATGAGAACGGTGGATGTGTGTGAAAGTGAGGACGGTTGATTTGTGTGGGTATCTGGTGAGTGAGGACGGTGGATGTATGTGGGTATCTGGTGAGTGAGGACGGTGGATGTGTGTGGGTATCTGAGTGAGGACGGTGGATGTGTGTGTGTATCTGGTGAGCGAATACGATGAATGTGTGTGGGTATCTGAGTGGGGACGGTGGATGTGTGTGGGTATCTGAGTGGGGACGGTGGATGTGTGTGGGTATCTGGTAAGTGAGGACGGTGGATGTGTGTGGGTATCTGAATGAGGACGGTGGATGTGTGTGTGTATCTGGTAAGTGAGGACGGTGGATGTGTGTGGGTATCTGAGTGAGGACGGTGAATGTGTGTGGGTATCTAAGGACGGTGGATGTGTGTGGGTATCTGAGTAAGGACGGTGGATGTGTGTGGGTATCTGGTAAGTGAGGACGGTGGATGTGTGTGGGTATCTGAATGAGGACGGTGGATGTGTGTGTGTATCTGGTAAGTGAGGACGGTGGATGTGTGTGGGTATCTGAATGAGGACGGTGGATGTGTGTGTGTATCTGGTAAGTGAGGACGGTGGATGTGTGTGGGTATCTGAGTGAGGACGGTGGATGTGTGTGGGTATCTGGTGAGTGAGGACGGTGGATGTGTGTGGGTATCTGGTAAGTGAGGACGGTGGATGTGTGTGGGTATCTGGTGAGTGTGGACGGTGGATGTGTGTGGGTATCTAGTGAGGACGGTGGATGTGTGTGGGTATCTGGTGAGTGAGGACGGGGGATGTGTGTGTATCTGAGTGAGGACGGTGGATGTGTGTGGGTATCTGGTGAGTGTGGACGGTGGATGTGTGTGGGTATCTGAGTGAGGACGGTGGATGTGTGTTGGTATCTGAGTGGGGACGGTGGATGTGTGTGGGTATTTGAGTAAGGACGGTGGATGTGTGTGGGTATCTGAGTGGGGACGGTGGATGTGTGTGGGTATCTGAGTGGGGATGGTGGATGTGTGTGGGTATCTGAGTGAGGACGGTGGATGTGTGTGGGTATCTGAGTGAGGACGGTGGAAGTGTGTGGGTATCTGAGTGAGGACGGTGGAAGTGTGTGGGTATCTGAGTGAGGACGGTGGAAGTGTGTGGGTATCTGAGTGAGGACGGTGGATGTGTGGGGGTATCTGGTGAGTGAGGACGGTGGAAGTGTGTGGGTATCTGAGTGAGGACGGTGGAAGTGTGTGGGTATCTGAGTGAGGACGGTGGATGTGTGTGGGTATCTGGTGAGTGAGGACGGTGGATGTGTGGGGGTATCTGGTGAGTGAGGACGGTGGAAGTGTGTGGGTATCTGAGTGAGGACGGTGGAAGTGTGTGGGTATCTGAGTGAGGACGGTGGATGTGTGTGGGTATCTGGTGAGTGAGGACGGTGGATGTGTGTGGGTATCTGAGTGGGGACGGTGGATGTGTGTGGGTATCTGAGTGGGGACGGTGGATGTGTGTGGGTATTTGAGTGAGATTTTACCGATTGAGTGAATATATACTCACCTAATACACACATCAACCATCCTCACTCAAAGTTACAAAGAAATCGTAGTGGCATAGCGGGATTACGTTTATCTTAACATTCGTCTAAACCTAAACCTTACCTTTCAATCCTTGAAGTGGCCAGACCTTATTACAGCGTAGTGTTTTCCAATCATCACAACAATAGCCTAAACTAATCTCCGTGCTATATAAAGCGATGAGACACGCCAAGTTATTTATAGTATCATGTAGTTTAACCTCGCAGTATCTTTAATAACTGGACCACAGGACTTCACAGTAAAACTCAAGGTCTATTCTTATTTTTATAAATTTCTCCCCACCCCCCTTCAATTCTTTGATTCTTTTGAGCTATACTTCGATATCCACATCTGCACATCGAATATCGATTCATTAAAAGCAGTTGAACAAAGACATTTTTTCTTGTCTTCTTATTTTGGTTAATTATTTTGGTATGTTTATTGCACTCTATTTATTTATAGACTGTATTATGTATCGCATGTCTGGAATGCTTATAAACAAAAGTTACACTAGAACAGCTACGTAAATAAAAGAGATAAAGGTTGTTGTAGTTAAACAAATAGATCATAAACTTACTTGCCCTACTTAAAGTTTAATTCCACCCCTAATCTTCCCTCCCCCTTTAACTCGTGTTCACATTAATCTGTCATAGTTATCAGAACAGAAGGACAGATAAGGGGAATGATTTAGTAGCCTATATGTATCGTACAGAAACGTTACTAAATCATAATACTTTGTGAAACATAAAGACACAGAGGCGTAGCGAGGGGGGGGGGGGAGCGGGGAGTGGGACATATGTTCCCGGGCGCCGACTTTAGGGGGAAGCCAAAACGGGTTGGAAAGGGGTGCAAATCGAAAGTTTGGGGGGTGGGGGTGCAAATCGAAAGTTTGTCCCCGGGCGCCGGCAAGGGTCGCTACGCCTCTGCATTTAGCTTAAAGTTTATACAAGTAGGGGTCATCCACAAATGACGTCATGCTTTTTTGACGATTTTTACCTCCCCGCCCCCTCCGTCACACATCGTCACAAAAAGCCAGATCCCCTAAAAGTAAAACTTTTTGAATTATAGAAAAGCAATGTTAGAAAACGAGTTTTATCCGTTATTTCGCAACATTGCATTTTTATAATGCAAAAGTGTGTCGTCACACGATCCCTCCTCCTCATAACACACCATCACAAAATTACGGAACCCCCTCCCCACTACGAGTGTGACGTCATTTATGGACGACCCCCTATTATAAACAATAATCCCCACAGAAGATACAGTTTAATAGATACAAACAATATTATTTAAACTATGTTTTCACATTTTGTCATTTTATAGTTCAATAATACTAATTTGCTGTCGTTTGTAAACCGAAGACAACCAAATCTCACAATTGTATAACTAAAAGTCCCTTACGAACAACTCTCTCTCTGTTTCTACACAAATATTTACCCAGTTCGCTCCCTTTAAACTATTTTTTTCTACAGATAAAATATCAAACAAAAATCCAGTCTTTGGTGTTTTGCAGATATGTTGGAGTAATGTTAATTTTTTTAAAAACAAGTTTTTATTGTATCGAAAGGCATAATCAAGTGTGTACAATACACCCTGTGTATACGGTGTGTACATAGTTCTTACACAGTGTGTACAAACCCGAAGGACAGGAAGTCTGGCCAATCACTCACATCACTCAACACACAAACATCGTCCATGTTGGGCGTCTCTACACTAGAACAAAAACTGCTCAAGTTTTTCTGTTTGATGGCGGCTGTGATACTAGAGAATGTAAGTAAAAACAACTGCATTTTATTTGTGTGCTCCAGGACCTGCACTACATGGTTGAAGAATTACAATGTTTTAATTAAAAAAAAAAAACTTTCTAATTAAAAACATAAGTCAATAACATAATTTTTAATGTTTGTGTGTTACATCAGTAGGTCTATAGTCTATACTGATTCTTGTGTAAACAACAATTTACTTTTAAGTTTTTACTTTTTCGTTTTCAGGTCCGTGTTGAAGTGAATCCCACACCTTACACAATGGTAACATCCTGCTGTGGACACCTGTACGGCAACAAAGTCACCTGTACGGCAACAAAGTCACCTGTACCAGAACAAAGTCACCTGTCCGACAACAAAGTCACCTGTACGCCAACAAAGTCACCTGTACGCCAACAAAGTCACCTGTACGACAACAAAGTCACCTGTATGACAACAAAGTCACCTGTACGACAACAAAGTCACCTGTACGCCAACAAAGTCACCTGTACGCCAACAAAGTCACCTGTACGCCAACAAAGTCACCCGTACAAAAACAAAGTCACCCGTACGACAACAAAGTCACCTGTACGCCAACAAAGTCACCTGTACGCCAACAAAGTCACCTGTACCAGAACAAAGTCACCTGTACGCCAACAAAGTCACCCGTACAAAAACAAAGTCACCCGTACGACAACAAAGTCACCTGTACGCCAACAAAGTCCCCCTACAACAACAAAGTCACCTGTACCAGAACAAAGTCACCTGTACGCCAAAAAAGTCACCTGTACGCCAACAAAGTCACCTGTACGCCAACAAAGTCATCTGTACGCCAACAAAGTCACCTGTACGCCAACAAAGTCCCCCTACAACAACAAAGTCACCTGTACCAGAACAAAGTCACCTGTACCAGAACAAAGTCACCTGTACGCCAAAAAAGTCACCTGTACGCCAACAAAGTCATCTGTACGCCCACAAAGTCACCTGTATGACAACAAAGTCACCTGTATGACAACAAAGTCACCTGTATGACAACAAAATCACCTGAATGACAACAAAGTCACCTGTACGCCAACAAAGTCACCTGTACGACAACAAAGTCACCCGTATGACAACAAATTCACCCGTATGACAACAAAGTCACCCGTATGACAACAAAGTCACCTGTATGACAACAAAGTCACCTGTATGACAACAAAGTCACCTGTATGACAACAAAGTCACCTGTATGACAACAAAGTCACCTGTATGACAACAAAGTCACCTGTATGACAACAAAGTCACCTGTATGACAACAAAGTCACCTGTATGACAACAAAGTCACCTGTATGACAACAAAGTCACCTGTATGACAACAAAGTCACCTGTATGACAACAAAGTCACCTGTATGACAACAAAGTCACCTGTACGACAACAAACTCATCTTTGACAAAAGTATCTTTTATATGTGAACAAGGACATTTACAGTTAAAGTCAACTTCTTTTCGGACACGCCAATGACTTTTTTCTTACACAAATGATACCAATGTAACTACATAGACCATTTTACATGAATGACACCAATGTCATTACATAGATCATCTTACACGAAAGACACAAATGTCATTATATAGATAATCTTACAAGAATGACACCAATGTCACTACATGGATCATCTTGATTCACGAATTAGACAACGAGATCTACTTAATTCCTATTTACTTTTCATCAACAACATACAGACATTACCAGCGTATCCCAAAGAAAATTAGTCTGGAATGCACACGGCTACTGTGTTTGTCATACACAACGATATTTCCTAACATGTAAGCTACTTACATCTTACAATTATTTTATTAATGCACTTAGAGAACGTCTATTTAAATAATTGAGGATAATAACAAAATGGATTTTCTTGCTGTCTGTTCTTGCTCTCTGTTCTTGATGGCTGTTCTTGCTCTCTGTTCTTGATGGCTGTTCTTGATGGCTGTTCTTGCTATCCTTTAATGTTGCTGTCTGTTCTAGCTGTTGTTTTTGCTGTTCTGTTTAAGCTATCTGTTCTTGCTGTTCTGGTTTTGCTGTCTGTTCTTAAAAAATGAAAAATGAAAAGAAATGAAAAGAAAAAAAGAAAAACAAATACAAAGAAAAAAAAAAGAATTTGACAAAAAGAAAAAAAATAATAACGTAAAAAAAAAGAATGAAAAGAAAAAAAAGAAAAAAGAAAAAAAAAATAACTTGAAAAAAGAAAAAAAAAATAATTATTTTATCTTTTATGTTCTACTTCATGTATAATTGTATAAGTTTAATTTGTTTCGGTTGTAATTTTCATTATTTTCTTATTGGTAGATTTATTTAACAGTAGTAGTTATTTTTTTAAACCGAGCCACCAAATTAGGTCATTATGTTTTAGTAGTAATGTATTTTAAAAGCCATGTTTACTTTATAATTGCATTCAATTGAAATGTATTTCATTTTTAAGTATGTATTGCATGTTATATTATTTTAAGTGTTAAAAAAACGGGAACATGGGCCAACTCATCAATTTAACTGTTAACAACAAATGTTTGAAATATAAAATAGAAGAAAAAAGAATTTGATCAATCGAAAAAAAAACGTAAAAAAAAAGAATGAAAAAAAAAAGAAAAAAAAAAAGAAACGAAACGAGGGAGGGACAAGGGGGTGGGAACGGGGGAGGGAGGGAGGGACAAGGGGGTGGGAACGGGGGAGGGAGGGAGGGACAAGGGGGTGGGAACGGGGGAGGGAGGGAGGGACAAGGGGGTGGGAACGGGGGAGGGAGGGAGGGACAAGGGGGTGGGAATGGGGGAGGGAGGGAGGGACAAGGGGGTGGGAACGGGGGAGGGAGGGAGGGACAAGGGGGTGGGAACGGGGGAGGGAGGGAGGGACAAGGGGGTGGGAACGGGGGAGGGAGGGAGGGACAAGGGGGTGGGACAAGGGGGTGGGAGGGAGGGACAAGGGGGTGGGACAAGGGGGTGGGAGGGAGGGACAAGGGGGTGGGAACGGGGGAGGGAGGGAGGGAGGGACAAGGGGGTGGGAACGGGGGAGGGAGGGAGGGAGGGACAAGGGGGTGGGAACGGGGGAGGGAGGGAGGGAGGGACAAGGGGGTGGGAACGGGGGAGGGAGGGAGGGAGGGACAAGGGGGTGGGAACGGGGGAGGGAGGGAGGGAGGGACAAGGGGGTGGGAACGGGGGAGGGAGGGAGGGAGGGACAAGGGGGTGGGAACGGGGGAGGGAGGGAGGGAGGGACAAGGGGGTGGGAACGGGGGAGGGAGGGAGGGAGGGACAAGGGGGTGGGAACGGGGGAGGGAGGGAGGGAGGGACAAGGGGGTGGGAACGGGGGAGGGAGGGAGGGAGGGACAAGGGGGTGGGAACGGGGGAGGGAGGGAGGGAGGGACAAGGGGGTGGGAACGGGGGAGG